GCATGAGTCAGCATTTTAAAATCTGTAAATTACACTAATTAACCTGTTTTTTTCCATAAAAATATTTCACTCTAGCACAAATCAAAGTAACACCAATGACACAACAAAAAGAACCACGTCGAAAAACAAAACTTTAACTGAAAATATCTTACTTTTACTCAGTAAAGAGACACTCACCATGCATTGACTTAAATGGCTCTTCTTCTTCTTCTTCTTTCTGACCTTGACCTGACCTCTTACATATTCTTGACCTTTCAAAATAAGGGTCTGTGATACCAGTAACACCAATGACACCCAATCAAGGGACAGATATTCTTTTAAAAAATATTTTTATTATTAAATAGCCAATTTAGTTTTAATTTTATTCATATATTAAGAGCAGTGTTTGTCCATAATTGACCAATTATTATTTTTTTAAACAAAAAAGAGGAAATATTTTTACACCGTCCAATACCGTTGAATCATGGCAGTGGGACAAGTGTTTTTTTTAGCTACAAAGGAAATTAAAATTTAAATAAAAAAATAAAACTGCAAATATATAAACTGAAATTATCATCATTTAAAATGGTATTGAATTACATAATTTTGGTTTAATGTGGATGATTTTTTTTAAATTTTCAAGCATTTGTGTGTCTGGAAAATGCAGGGACATGTTTTTCACCGTATTTTGAGAATGACCCCTTTGTGTGGTTAAGCTAATTGGCATTTTCCACTCTACTCTTGGCCGCGCTTAGTCGTGCCATGCAAAACAAAGCAGATATCGATAGATATAGAAACGCAAATCGGCACGGCATGGCACGTGCCGATTTGCGTTTCTATATCTATCGATATCTGCTTTGTTTTACTGTTTCATGTCTGCTATCAGTCATATTAGAAGTTGTGTGAAGCTGCTGCTTGAAAACTCAGCATTTCCTTATTTTGCTGCTTCACAATAACATTTTTTGTAACAAAATATGGGGGGACTTTTATTGAGAAGAATCTAATAGGAAATGAAATGTGTTAATCACTGAATTAGCGTAATTTTGTCAGCTATTTTTCTTCAATAAGGAAGAGTGTAATAATACTGCAGGGAGGAAAGTAAAAGTAGAAACAACCGCAGTGAGATGTTAGATGAAGAGCTGTCTTACTGCACCTCTGCAAACAGCTCACCTCCAATGGGTAAACGTCTTTCACCTGTCATGTTTGGTGATGGAAAAACATGTGCAGTAAAAATAACAGGAACTTTAGCCATGGATCAGCCCACTGCTTTTAAACGTCACTCAAGACAAGTCATCATCAGTTAAAGACGCACCTTCCAGACCACCTACCAGTGGGTAGCCCTGTTTTAATGGAGTTGCAAATCCCCACCGCACTGGGATGATGGCCCAAACCAAGACATGCCAAGCCAGGACAAGGAGTATAACTGTCAGAACATTAACTACAATTTGCTGTAGCTTGGTTGTCATTTCAATTTCTGCACAGCCTATCATCGACTGTGTAAGATGTGGATGTAGCTACCGTGATGTGACCATTGGTTTGTGGACTCCTGCTTTGAAGCCTCAGGTTTGACATTTTGGCACTCGCCATCTAGGATTTTTGGAGCCAGAAGTGAACACATTTGGACAAGAGGACGGAGCAGGAGAGGAGTTACATTTTTGCATCATTATTCTCTCTTTTTTTTTTTTTTACTAAAAAAAACATGTCCTTTTTTAAGATTTTTATTTATTTATTGTGATAGTCTGCACCAAAAGAGATTTTTTTCTTAAGTCTGTAAAATACCATCTGTAGCCCTAGACATCTCTGCAGTACCACAATATTTAATTTGGATTTGTATTTTGACACATATTTACACCTCTATGGTACATAGTATGATGCAAGTTGGTAAAAAAAATGTGGTTTCTTGTTAAATAGAATTACCGTTTTCATTTTTTTTTTATTTTTATTTTTTTTAAATACATCAATTTTTGAGGGGGTCCATTACTTTAAAGCAACATTGTACCATAATGTTAATAAATGGAAAAAAGGGGTAATGTTTACATTTTTATACAAATTCATAGAATAATCTTACAATTATTCTGTAAATCGAAGAAAAAGGTGTTTGAAATAGAAGCATGCAGTATGCTCTGCAGAGAGGAGTCACACAGTGCCACAGCCTTAACTATATCAAAACTAACATTATTAAATTTATCTAGGTTAATTTGTCAAGATAAAAAGAAAATTATGATGACTATTATGCATTTGAATGGTATATTAACCTATTTAGCTGTCATGGAACCCCGATACCTCGATTCACCATGACAACTGGAGAGAAAAAGCAATGAACTTATTTTACACCTGTGGAATTGGAGGTGTTCATGAATGCCTACAGCGAATATGAGCATATATTCCATAAAAAAAAAAAAAGTAACACTGTTAAAGCTGCCAAGGAGAGAGAGGCGGCATGGGAGAAAACTGCTGCCCGAGTCAACGCGTAAGTTTGAATGCACTAGTCCATTAGTTTAACATTTAACCACACTTAATATAAATCGTAGCATACAGGTAGAAGAGTGGTGGAGTGATTTTGAATAAAATTTGATTTTCATGTAGGTGCAATCTCACAGGGGAAAACGCATTTGGAAGCAGCTTAAAATGAAAAATGAAAACATCATTTAAACAGATAAGGCATATTTTAGCCATGATTGTACCTTTCTTTAGTTTTATTCATATTTGATTTATTAAACAAAGTAGCTTAAATAA